CTGTGTCACATATCACTAAAATTAACTGTGAGTTCTAATGGGAGACACAAGCCTCCTTTCTTAGTATTATCGAACATGCTTCGCTACGCTCTTACAAGTCGTGTCATTCCAGAAGGCGTTGTCTAATGAAAACTTTTGAATGTAGTGATTATCACAGCTTAAAATCAAGTGTAGTTTATTTGCATTTAATTTGTCGAAGTGGTCAATCACTCTAAAGAAATTCTGTCTCCGCATACTTACCGTAATTGTCATGGTTATGAATTGCTCAATTTAGAGACATGGAAAAGATGGAGGACTAGAAAGTGGTCTGAAACTCCCTAACTCATTTATTTGTAGTGTTCCCTTCTTATGCTGGCTATCCCTACGCCACTTGCGCAGGTTATCGATCGGCCAGTCGGATGAGCTATGGACCGCGCTCCGCCAGCGCCATCGGGGCTCCATTAAACGGTTGCATTAGTGGAGGTGGTGTGATAAACACATCCCCTCATGCTTTCACTCACAACGCCCACAACAACGGTGACAACTGCTGCAGCTGCTGCCATGTAGAAGAGCAGCAACAACTACCCCAATCTCCATTCACTGCTTATGGTGACTACATGGACACTGGAAGCTCCTTTGGGGTCCAACGAAGCCCTCTTGCAGGCTATCGCACTTCCCATCTCTCTCCCACACCTCAACGCTACACCCCTGGAGCTGGAGAGACCACGATCTCGGCGTCCATCAGTTCTCTGCCTCGTTCCAGAGCTCATGGTCGTTCCACAGTCACCATTCAGTCACTGAGCATTCAACAACAAAATCAGCAACAGCCAATCAAGTTGGATCTTCGTGGACCTGTTGAGATGAATGCTGGAGAGGCTGTGTTCTCTAATTTTCCACCCCGACCCACACCACGCGACGTCAGCAATTTGGACGATAACGAAGCGGGTGATTGAGAACCTTTTATGCAAGAAGGGGGGTCTTAATTGGACAGCCTTAAAACCCAACTCCCCTCTCTTTTTCTTTCCTCTCTCACGCGAATCCGCCTAAAGTCTTCCCTTTTCTAGCTCCCATCTCCCTTTAAGGTGAGAGTGATATTCTAAGCAAAACAAAAGTCAGATAGAGACAGAAAAACCTCCTCCTCTTTCACCTCATTTGTCCCATATTCCCGCTCCATGTGTAAGTTGCTCCGTTCCCCGGTATATACTGCTTGAGACTCCTACTGCTATTGATACTTCAACCTAGCGATTGGTGGAAAGATAGATTGAACTCTGTGTGTTATATATACATATATACAAACAATGCGTGCTGTTGATGTGATGAGAGTGTTATCCCCTTTTGTGACTTATTCTTTTTAAAGTTCCAGATTCAAGAGAAAAATAAAAGTTGATTTACAAGGGGTGTTCAGGTCGAGCCCATGATTCTAATTTTATGTGTACGTATAAAAAGGACACTTCACCGTGGTGGTACTGCACACAATAGGCAATGCCAAATGTGTTCCATTTTAGGTATTATTAGCCGGTACACACTCTCGGTCCAGTTCAGTCCACTCACCGTTTATCAAGGTGTTCGGCGATAGTGATAGCGCCCGCGTGCATGGAACGGCAAGTGGTTATCGGCTATGATCCCTGTGAACAAAAACAGAAGACTTCGAGCATATCATGTTGGTAGTACTCGAACGGTACGAACTTTTTGAGGGCGGTTGCAAGTTTGGTAAAGATTTTTTTGCCGTGGCAATTCTAAGCTTGCCATTTTGACAGCCGTCTCAGCGAACATTAAGCTGGCGGATGGAATGTCTCCCTGATTAAGGCACAACAAGTCAAATTAATCATTGAACATTCACAAGGATGAGGAATTGCACTTTGCAAAAGTTAACCCGATTCAGTATCAAGCCAACTTGTTCTAGGACGGTTTAGTCATGATGACAAATTTTCATGGGCTAAGGGTGATTTCGATGAGTTATTCAAAGGCTGACAGAATTTATGTACTTTCTGCTCAAAACATGTTGTATTTTATTAGCCCATAAATCACTGTTTGACTGGTACGTCTGCATTCGGTCTGTAATGAGATGCCATTTGTAGTACCTTGCTACTATTGCAAACCCTAAAATCGCAGAAGATAGGGGACAAATACGAATACTGTTTTCCGCTTAGCCTTATTTTTAGTACTTATCCTCAGTGCACCGTGACAATTGTAAGGTAGTGCTAAATGCATTTTGCGTGTCAATGATTTTTGGGAGGAACAATAGTTTAAAAGCAATATGAGGTGATCATCTGATTTAGCTGCATTAGTTGACGTAGTTGGGCATATAAGCCTGGAAGGAACCCCACTGTTGACGTACAGGATGGTTGGTAGACTTATACATCTCTGCCTAACACCACGAGTCTGAACACTGAGAAATTGAAAATGCTGCCAATAACAAATCAGGCGTTCTATAACTGATAAGGGATTAAGAGAACCAGATTTGGGAATAACAGACTCAGTCAAATGGTCCCATTTAAGCTTTATTTACGCAACAATGAATATTTCCAATTAGTCTGCCTGTGATTAGAGACCTGACTTTTTGGATCAATTTAAAAGGTAAATTTTTCATGAAGGGTAGAACAATCAGGATGAAGAACAGCTGTTTTCCTTTGTATCCCTCTCTTCCTTACTCCCCATACCTTCGTTCTCTGTAAGAAAAGGGACAGATAGGGCATTTCACACCATTCTGTCTCCAGAGCAGGGCCTCAGTTTCTGCTGGTGTGGTCAGGCTCATCTTTATAAAGGCCATTCATATCATTCTAGAGTTTTTCGACCTTCATAGAAAGAAGAGGAAGGGACAAATTTCAAGGTGTCAAAGCTGCGTCAGTTCATCCACGTGGTTGTAGCCTACAGTAATGCATGGCTCCCAGTTTCGGCTGAACCATCCGTAAAAGCCTGTTTGACTTCGTCATTAGCATGCCTTGCATTACTTTAATACCCTCTTCCGATTAAGGGGTAGAATGGTGCATCCAGGTTTTAGCCATGTGCAATGGTGCGGTCTG